TATCTGGGGGAAAAAAAAACAAAAAAAAACAGACACTTCATTTTCACTGTACTAACTTGAATAGTTTCCCTTAACTTAGTAAGAAATTACAGCAGAACTATTTTTTATCCACCTAAATACCTTTCAAGCATGTTTTTGATTTCTAAGTATTGCAATTTTACTGATGAACCAACAGTTCTCAAGATGAACTCATTTGTTTCCTTTCTCTGTAATTTAGACCACAAATCAGATAGCTTGTGGATTCTTTCATGAATAAACATTCTGGCTGGGCACTGATGGCTCTCACCTGTAATTCTAGCTACTTAGTAGGCTAAGATCTGAGTATCACTGTTTGAATCCAGACTGAGCAAAGCAGCCTGTAAGTCTCTTATCTTCAACTAACTACCAAAAAGGCAGAAATGAAGGTGTGATTCATGTGGTGAGCACAACTCTTTAGTAGAAAAGCCAAGCAGCAACACAAGGTCCTGAGGTCAAGCCCCAGTTCTGGCACCGAAAATATAACAAAATAAAGCTAATAAAGTTTACATGTAAAATCCAGGAATAGTTTTAAAAATGAAGACATTGAAGATAAAATTCTTATTCTTTCCACATCTAACATGTATATCCAAGCACAGGAACTCCTGAATTTGCCTCAATCCTGTGATTGACATCAAATCTATCTTCTTTACTGCTAAGTCACTGGTGATGCAAAACAGTAGCAGGTCAGAAGCCAGAAACAAAGGATCACAGAGATTCCCCATGGGTTTCTGCCAAGGAGTGAACAAAAGCAGAAATCCCTGTAAGATGTCATAGGAAGGAGCAACAGCAGCCTGTAATCTCAGCCCCTGCTGGAGCCTGGATAACCAGGAAGTCACCTGAGGGCTCAGCACAGACAGACACCAACCAGAGGAGCCTGAGTGGAGGCTTCTTTCTCCCATGAAGAGTCTTAGCATATGCCACATGTGAAGCTAGAAGATGGAATGGAAAGAAAAGAGCTATTGAACAACTCTGCCCTCCAAGCTGTTGCTACGGAAAAGACAGAGGACCAAAACCAAAATGTGCTTCAGACCCTGTCTCTTTCCCCGGCCTTCCTATCCTCCCATTGGTGACATTTTAAAACCCTAGTCTTTTTTTTAGCAAGTATTTCTTAAGCTTGCCTCAATACCAGAGATCATACTATGAATGAAAGAGAAAAATGAAACAGGAAACTGGATGTGGTTTCTTTCTATCTAGGAGTTCAGAGTTTCATGGAAGTTTCTCTCCACACACACAAATTTATATTTGTAAGCTAAAGAAACCCTACTATGGCCCTTCCATTCTTCTGAGAGCCTTATCCTGAATCCTCTCTGAAGGAAGTAAAGTATCAGGCTCACAGTGATTTAGAGAACTCATCTGAAACCTGAGGCAACCCTCACTTAGGAGCCACTAAGCCTTGGAAAACTTGTAAATATAAATATATATATGTATGTATGTATGTATGTATAGATATATCAGAAGAAGAAACTGCACAAGCTGAGTTAACCCGCCTCTCCCCAGCAATCACTTCTTGCTTAATTTACAAAATGATAATATGTAACTGATAGAAATTATTGAGATAATAGCTAAAATCTATGCTTATTTTGCTCCTTAATAGTGTGTGGAACATTTTATTTATTATTTATGTATGTATGTATTCATTTATTTAGTGTGTGTGTGTGTGTGTGTGTGTGTGTGTGTGTGTGTGTGTGTGTGTGAGAAAGAGAGAGAGAGAGAGAGAGAGAGAGAGCAGACATATTGGGCATCTAACTCAGACACACTGGGGATATAACTCAGGGCCTCACATTGTCAGCTTTTGCCACTCAGGGCTGTTGCTTTACCAGTTGAATGATACCTCCAGTTTGGGCTTTCTGGCTATGAATTAGAGATAAAAGTTTCTCAGACTTGTGTGCCTCAGATGGCTTTAAACATGATCCTCGGATTTCAGCCTCCTCAGTAGCAAAGACTGCAGGCATGAGACACTAACCCCTGATTAAAAACACTTATGATTATTTGGACTACTGTGGCTTTATTTGTATCTCACTGAGTATTTGCTAATAAGTTTCAGTATCTGAATTTTTTTTTTTTTAAAGAAAGTCCTTTATTTTATTTAATTTATTTTTGCACATTGTGGGGCCTGAACTCTGGATCTGGGCACTGTCCCTCAGCTCTTCAGCTCAAGCTAGTTCTCTAATACCTGAGCCACAGCCCACTTCCGGCTTTTTTCTTTTTGCTTATGTGGTGCTGAGGAATCGAACCCAGGGCCTCAGACATACAAGGCAAGCGCTCTACCACTGAGCCACCTTCCCAGCCCCTCAGTATCTGAATTTTTAAGAATAGCTTGAATCATAGTGGTATGGTCAATCGAGCTATAATTTGCATAAAGACTTTGAAAAACATTTTTCATGATTGGAGTAGAAGGAACAATAAAATAATAACAGCGATGCATAGAAAGAAGTCTTCCCTGTAAGCCTGTACTTGGTAAAAGATAGAAGTACAGATGGATGTGCAAACAGCTACCCTTTGTTTAGTAGGATAGTATTATATTTGTTAGCCATTTGAGAGTAGGAACTTAATATTCCATCCATTTAGTGAGAATCTAGACTCCACTTTTAAAACTCTACTAGATTCTGGTGGCTATGATCTGAGGATCATGGTTCAAAGCCAGCCCAGGCAGGAAAGTCTATGAGACTTTAATCTCCAATTAGTTAGCAAAAACCCACGAGCAAATCAGTAGAGCAAATGTTAAAGCATAGTTTTAAGCAAATGCTAAGGGACAGTATTCAGACCATGAGTTCAAGCTTCAAGCCCCAGTACCAGTATATGCAGACACACATACACTTCCCTCTGCTCCCTACCACATACTTATGTCCACATCAGCATAGAGCCTGAGATTTTATATGCAGAGTTGGCAATGGAAACTTGTTTTGACTCTGAGGTCAGAAACCTCCACAGCTGAGTACTTTGGATAATGAAAGGTCCTTTTTCTATATTTGCCCAGCTTGGTCAGGACACAGGCAAAAGTCATCTAATCTGCATTTAAACATTCTTTCCTTTTCATTTTAACTGTGTTTGCATTTCCTGAGGCACATCTAAAAGTTTCAAAATATTTACAGTATATTGCTAGGCTTTCAACAGAAAAAAGAAAAAAGGAAAAAGAAAAGAAAGAAAAACCCATCCCATTTTCACAAGCAAGTTATTTTCAGCAAGCAGTTCCTGTCCCCAAGCACAAAAGGCTGGATCTAAAAACAAATGAGAGAGAAGGTGCAGTTTGAACAAATGAGTCCTTAGAGATGGGGTTTAAAGCATAGCTTTTGCTTTTTGATCCAACTTTTGCCTTATCACTTCACAATGCTTAGAAAAATGTTGAACTAAATCATTGACATTTGGACAGTTTTTAAGTTGACAGTTTGATTTTTTTCCCCTGTTTTGTCTATTGCTGGGGCCAGTATAATTAGGTCATAGCTATGTGAAAAGTTAGTTAGACAGGAAAAGTTTTGGATGTATATCTTTTCAGGAAGATAGTTTCTGGTAATAGTCACAGCATCATTCACAAATGAGATGAGCTCACTGAGTCTACAGAACTTAAAATATTAATGTTGTCTCTAAAAGAATAGGTGGCCCTAATTCAAAGAGAAATAAAGGTTTGTTTACATTTTTATGGCTGTTACAAGCAATTACATTAGAAAGATTTTAGCATGCATACTCCTGATTTTTAAACAAAATTTTAAGCCATGAAGTCTGAGAAGGGACCATCCCAGTAGGCAGAGGAGTAAAGCTTATATAATCACAATATTCTAGAAATGGCCAGACATCAAATGCTCATGTACATAACCCTGTTGATGGTCATCTCATTTCATTTTATATTAGAATTATTCATAATTCTTAGGCTATCAGTATTTTCTAATAGGCTTTTTACTCTTACCTATAGATAAGTTTCAGGTATTGCTTCTATTCTTCTTTCTAGGAATGTGAGGAACTACAGGACAGTTCAAATGAGGATAGTCAAGTTTCCTGAAAAAGATGACGTTAATTGCTTTTATTCTTTTGTGGGTTGAGCATCTCAGTTTTATTTCTTTTTGTGGATTAATTTAATACTTTTTTTGTAACAAAGAAGATTCTTATGTGCATCCAAATGTGAAAAGCCAGATTGAATAGATACAAAAGGCAGAACTGAATGTATTGGGCTGGCAGAGTGTAAAGGTCACAGTTAGCAAGCTTTATAGAAACACCATTGCAAGGACACAGTAGATCCCTTGTAAAAGTCATGAAGGAGAGCCAATGCAGGGAAAGTCTAGAACACAAACACAAAATTTGTGTTGCGCTATCTATGACGGCAGCAAAGTAAGTATCAAGAGTTTGACTATGTTGCAAAAGAATTTAAAGGGCCATAGCGCTGAAAGAATGCACAAGATAGTTTTATGCTTCTTATGTAACATTTATAGAACATGACATGCTGAATATTAAGCAATCCACAAAACTCCTTTAAGTCCCTACCTAGTTATTCTATTTCCAAATAAAGTAAATCAGGGAGATATAGGAAAGAAATCTGGAAATCTGTTTAATGCTGCTCTTCTAAGTGTCTGCATTGTGAATACAACTTGAATGGCCCCACTTTGCCAAGAACAAATTTTAGAAGGTAGAGGTTTTGTTTGTTTTGAGGAGGACAAGAGGTTTGGTCTTAGCTATCCTATTACAACTGTGCTTCCGTGAATATGCTTAGTACATCTAAATTCAGAGTTACTTATATTTTAACCAAGGTTGGGGGTGGTGATGGTTAATCCATTAGCAGTCAATTTTCTGAATGAAATTGACCAACATTTTTTGTAGTATATGGAATTAGCCATGGATCAAGCTGGATTGCTAACATGTTCTGTAATTCACCCTTTTTCCTAGGCTTTGGAAAGTACTTAGAGAGGACTTGCTCAGTTTATTTTTCAGATGTGCTGGCAGGATTGTCTTGCACCCACTAATATTTTTGTTTTGTTTTATTTTCTTTGTTGCAGGGACTTTATGTCTTTGTGGTTTATTTTATTTTACACAACCAAATGTGCTGCCCTATGAAGGCCAGCTACACCGTGGAAATGAATGGTCACCCGGGACCCAGCACAGCCTTCTTCACCCCTGGCAGTGGAATGCCTCCTACTGGGGAAGAAATCAACAAGTCCACGCAGAATCTCATCAGTGCTATGGAAGAGGTGTGTTCATTCTCTCTCTCTCTCTCTCTCTCTCTCTGTCTGCTTGACCTCTATTGCCACTTACAAAAGTACAAGATGAGCTTACACCTGTAATCCTACCTACTTAAGAGCTAAGATTCACAGAATAAAGGTTCCAAGGTAGCTCAGCACCCCCCCCTCCCCCCCCCCCCTCGCCTCCAAAGGGAAAAAAAAAGTCTGTGAAAATGTGTCTCTAAAATAACCAGCAAGAGTCTGGGCAAGGAGGCATTGTCTATCTGGTAGAGTGCCAGCTAAGCAAGCTTGAAAAGAAACCCTGAATTCAATTGCTGCTACTGGCAAACATAAAGAAAAAGAGAGAGAGAGAAAAAAAAGATGAATAATGCCCAATACTAGGTGCTTAAGACCTCTTCTTACCGTTATCACTCACCTGTTGCCTAATTTCTTTTCTTCCCAACCCTGTGAGCTAGCCTGATAATAGTTTGTGTTAAGAAGACAGATAGAACAAAATTTGTCATTTTCTTGAAAATGTTTCTAATTTGACATGACAGTGACTGAGTCTAAAAATAGTTTTAAAAGACTATCTTCTTCCTGGGCTGTGGGTGTGGTCTGAGGCAGATCACCTACCTAGTAATCACAAGCCCTGAGTTAAAACTCTAGATTGCAAATAAAAGAAAAAAAATACTCTTAGTCTCCCAAATAGTTTCAACGTCTCTTTCTTTCCCTCCCATCATACTGCTTCAGTCTCAACAATCAGTAAAAAAAGAAAATCAGCTGATACTCATAAGAGTGCTTTAGCCACACTCCTGGAAAGTCAAGCCAGGATTTCCTCTGTAAAATCTACCTACCAGTGTTATCTGAATTCTGTCCACACCAGTTATTTCCTCTCTGAATCACACTGTTGCTATCTTGTCAGTAGCATGGGGCCAGTGTTAGATTTAAAAACATACCTGACCACAGCTGGCCAGAGGCAGTTCTGCAGGGTTCAAGATGAGCTTAATTATCGTTCCCTGTGGGGCCATGTTGCCCTTTCAGTAATAAGGAACCAGTTGAAACTGTTTATATCCTAAAAAAATGACAGGCAGTCAGGTACATGTGTCTGAATAGGAATTTTTTTTTGATAGATAGGTAGAAAGATAGATTACATAAATGCTAGTTGATGGATAAATAGTATAAAGTCTGCTCCTGGATGGTGAGCCGACTCCACCCTCTTCGCAGCAAAGTCTCCGCCCAGTGCCTGCGTTACCTAGGCAACTGGCACACCTGGAAAAAGTCATATCTGCATCTGCTGAGGTCACATCTGGATTCAATGTGACCACACCTTCCCCTCCTCCACTCCCCCACTCTAGATAAAGCCTAGCCCAGGGCAAGACGTCATCTTTCCCAGGTCTCTCCCAACCTTGTGGAGTGCCAACATGGCCTGCTGCCAGCCATAAGGATGAATAAACCTACCCCATACCTGAATACCATGTGCGTGGTGTACTTCTTACTCAGTCTCTCTTTAAAAACCTAACAAAGCTGGGTGCTGGTGTAATCCGAGCTACTCAGGAGGCTGAGATCTGAGGATCATGGTTCAAAGTCAGCCCGGGCAGAAAAGTCGGTGAGACTCTGATCTCCAATAAACTACTAGAAAAGTGGAAGTGGCCTGTGGCTCAAGAGGTAGAGCACTCCCCTTGAGCTGAAGAGCGCAGGGACAGCACCCAGGCCCAGAGTTCAAGCCCCATGACTAACAAAAACAAAAACAACAACAACAACAACAAAAAACCCTAACAAATAGTATACTACATTTCCAAAACTATTTTTTGTTCTGCATGACAGTATATAAAGTAATTTTAATTATGTCAGGTTAAAATTAAGATACAAGTTCAAAAATCAAGTTATACCAATATGTATACATGATAAATCTAATCTACATGTACATGCTATATAATATACTCATATACATGACTTACGTCATTTATAAACATACTTATGATTTATAACACATACAGATACAATATGTATACTATACACATGTACATGTATACATATAAATGATTGGTCCAAAAATAAAATGTAAAGAAATATCAATTAGCAATAGTTAAACAAATGATAGAAAAGTGGTTGCTGCAGACTGGAGGTGAGGGAAATGGGGCATTTTGTTCAAAATATACAAATTTTAGCTGTAAGGTAAAGAAGTTCAAGTGGAATAATTAAAAATGAAATATGTCTTTGGTACTTTTAAAAGTTTTGAAGTCTATTGTCATTTCAATATCCCAAAGGTTCTTTAAAAATGAATTATTTCACCATCATACCAACAAGGACAGATATATATTCAAATCCTTTGGTCAAAAATGAAGCTGCTAAAAAGAAATTTTGTGGTTATTTTGAATGGTTGTCAATTGAATAGTTATCTAGATTTGAACCATCCCATGGAGTATTCTTCAGCTAATAAAAGATTATTTGAACTATAGCTGATTGTTTAAATTCAAAGAAACTAAAATTAAATTGCATTACAGATACAGTTCATCATTCATGCTGGCCATATTTTAAGTGTTTGAGTAATCACGTGTGTCCCGTGACTGGAGAAGGCAGATACAAAGCAGTTCTCTCTTTCAAGAAAGTACTATTGGACAGTAATGGCTTAAAAGTTTAACTTCTTGGGCTGGGAAGGTGGCTCAGTGGTAGAGCGCTTGCCTTGCATGCCTGAGGCACTGGGTTCGATTCCTCAGCACCACATAAGCAAAAACAAAAAAGCTGGAAGTGGCGCTGTGGCTCAAGTGGTAGAGTGCTAGCCTTGAGCTGAAGAGCCGAGGGACAGCGCCCAGGCCCAGAGTTCAGGCCCCAGGACCTAAAAAAAAAAAAAAAAAGTTTAACTTCTTCATGAAATTTCTCTTATTTAAGGTTTTGTTTTCTCCTGTCCAGATTACTTTTAAAGTTCTCAAGTTGATTTTTCTAGTATAGAGTTCCAGCATCTCCTAGAAATACCTCTGTGGGCAGCCAGTGCCTGTCCAGCCACTGCTTCCGTGTTCTCTTTGGGTATTGCCCAAAGGTATAGCCTCAAGTGTGCTCTGCATTCCCCACTGCTTAGACTTGGCCTTCATCCAGCCATCAATGACACTGTCAAAGACCTACAAAGCCATACGGTTAGGGGGGAGCTAAGGAAGCGAAAGATAGGGGTAGTTTACCTCGAAGGACATGAATACATTTAGTCATTTCAGAATAGAACTATCTTCTCAACTAACTGATCAAAGGGAGGATTTAGGACATTTGAAAGAAGTTGCTTTTTTAAAAAATTCAGTAGGTCTTCCATCTGCCCAGCTATGTTAACTACAACACCTTAGATTAAAGATCAGGTGCGTGCGTCTCCTGGTGACATCTTGTTTCCCTTGCTCACATCTTCCGAAAAATTTAAATGCATGTATTGGATTACATTCTTCTCTTTATCCACTCATGACAGCATAGACATCCACATGTAATTCTGATACAACTATTGTTTAAAATCATCAGATGAGATTGGCCAAGAAAGAGACATCATTTTCTTTAAAAAAAAAAAAATTGTAAAATCAAATGTCATAATATTAAAAATACTCAATAGTTCTTTCATAAGCTCTCTATGGCAAAACATGAATGTGAATTGTTCATATAGGTTTGAGCATAAATGTGCATGTATTCACCACATGGTTTTCTTCTCCCTTACCCCATGAAAGGTGCCACCTGACTGGGAGAGAGCATCCTTCCAACAAGCCAGTCAGGCCAGCCCTGACTTGAAGACAAGTCCTCAAAATGGTGCCTCATTCCCTTCCTCTGGAGCATATGGCCAGGGGTCACTAATTGCTGATGAAGAATCCCAGGAGTTTGATGACTTGATATTTGCATTAAAAACTGGTATGTATGAAACCCACAAACTATGTTAGAAGGAGGTGCTCTTGCCAGACACAGTTCGCTCAGGTCTTTAATCCTAGTGACTCAGGAGGCTGAGACCTGGAGAATCAAGATTTGAAGCCAGCCCAGGTAGAAAACTCCATGAGACTGCAGCTCTAAATAACCCTCAAAATCTGGAGCAGAAAGTATGAGTCAAGTGGGAGAATGCCAGTTGAGCAAGCAAGTCAAGCAAGTTCAAGATTTTGAGTTCACAGCCTGGTACAAAAGGAGGAGGAGGAGGAGGAAGAGGGGGAGGAGGGGGGGAGGAGGAGGAGGGGGAGGAGGGGGGAGGAGGAGGAGGGGGAGGAGGGGGGAGGAGGAGGAGGAAGAAGAGGGGGAGGAGGAGGGGGAAGAAGAGGGGGAGGAGGAGGGGGAAGAAGAGAGTTGTGGGGGCTGGGAAGGTGGCTCAGTGGTAGAGCGCTTGCCTTGCATGCATGAGGCCCTGGATTCCATTCCTCAGCACCACATAAGCAAAAAGAAAAAAGCTGGAAGTGGCGCTGCGGCTCAAGTGGTAGAGTGCTAGCCTTGAGCTGAAGAGCTGAGGGACAGCACCCAGGCCCAGAGTTCAGGCCCCATGACCAGACCCCCCCCCAAAAAAACAAAGAAGAGTGTTGTGATAGTAGTAGTAGTAGTAGTAGTCTGTACTCTTGCCATAACACAATAGAGGTGCCATAGGTCATCCTTAGTACATCTTGATTGTTTTGACCTATTCCTAAATCCAGCTAACCTCAAAGATATTTTTTCTTGGCAACACATATAACGCAAACTAAAATTAATTTACAGTGATTTCCAAATCTTGTTCCTTTTTTTTTTTTTTTTTTTTTTTGCCGGTTGTGGGGCCTGTACTTTGGGCCTGGGCGCTGTCCCTCAGCTCTTCAGCTCAAGGCTAGCGCTCTACCACTTGAACCACAGCACCACTTCCAGCTTTTTTTTTTTCTGCTTATGTGGTGCTGAGGAATTGAACCCAGGGCCTCATGCATGCAAGGCAAGCACTCTACCACTGAGCCACCTTCCCAGCCCAAAAATCTTGTTCCTGTATGCACCAAAGAACCCTTTCTTTCTTAAGGAATATTTCTGATCAGAAAATTTCAAAGGCAAGAAGTGGTGCTGTGGCTCAAGTGGTAGAGAAAATTTCAAAGGCAGTGTAGTAAGCATTATATTATTCTATAGTTTCACATATTTCAATATTTCATTTATTCCTCTCTCTATAAATGTATATCTGTATATCTGTTGTGTGTGTGTATATAATGTGTACACACACACACATACACACATACATACATACTCCTTCACACACAGAGGAAGGATTCATTTCAGTTCACAGTTCCACAGGTTTTAGTCATGGAGGAAGGACATAGAAAAGGAAAGCCATTTACTTCATGGGAGCCAGAAAGCAAGAGTAATAAGAAAGGGTAGGGTGATGACATACCCTTCCAAGCATGCTGCCAGTACCCATTTCCTCCAATTAAACACCACCTTCCACACAGCCACAACTGATATTGCCTGCTTGGATTCTGACCAGCACTCTCCTTGAGGTCTTCACAGCTGTAATTCTATGAGAGGATCCCTTGACCGAGTGTGTTTGGGAAACTGAAGATTCACAACTCACCTTAGCATTTTAGAAGCTCTAAAAAAAGTTCCAGAGTGAAGAGATTTACTTTAATTTAATTTAGAGCTTCTGGATACATTTAGTGATTGTTTTATTTTGGTGTACTACAGTACTTGCTGTTTATTATTATTATTATTATTAAAATTGCTATTTGGAAGTCACATTAAGGGCTTGAACTTTTAGAGAACATAGTGAGCCAGGAAGATTTTTGAAAAGAGACATGACAGGGTACCACTTGATTTTGAGGCAAAATGCTTTTATGAAGGTGTGAAAAGTAACTAGAAGCAACATCAGAAAAGCTGAGAGAAGATGATCCTCGACCAAGGGAATGTAGAGAATGAAAAAACAAACATAAGAATACAAGAGAAATGCTAAGAAGGAGCCAGGCGCTGGTGGCTCACAACTGTAATCCTAGCTACTCATGAGGCTGAGATCTGAGGATTGCGGTTCCCTGGCAGGAAAGTCCATGAGACTCTTATCTCCAAGTAACCACTAGAAAACCGGAAGTGGTGCTGTGGCTCAAGCGGTAGAGCTGAAGAGCGCAGAGTTCAAGCCCCATGACCAACAAAAAAAAAAAAGAAAAGAAAAAGAAATGCTAAAGAGGAACTAAATGGGTATGAGAACAGTAATAAAAGCATCTGCTTCTCACTTGGATGACAAGAAATCATACAACAGGGCTGGGAAGGTGGCTCAGTGGTAGAGTGCTTGCCTTGCATGCCTGAGGCCCTGGGTTCGATTCCTCAGCACCACATAAACAAAAAGAAAAAAGCCAGAAGTGGTACTGTGGCTCAAGTGGTAGAGCACTAGCCTTGAGCTGAAGAGCTGAGGGACAGTGCCCAAGCCCAGAGTACAGGCCCCACAACTGGACCGTAAAAAAAAAGAAAGAAAGAAAGAAATCATACAACAGAGCACTCATTTATTTGATTGCAAGAGAAACTGATTTGATCAGACTTGGATCTTAGCATTTGAGATGTGCTCATGAAAAGAATGATCTTTGTGGCTATGGGGATGAATAAATTTGACCTGGGGGCTGGGAAGGTGGCTCAGTGGTAGAGCGCTTGCCTTGCATGCCTGAGGCCCTGGGTTCGATTCCTCAGCACCACATAAGCAAAAAGAAAAAAGCTGGAAGTGGCACTGTGGCTCAAGTGGTAGAGCACTAGCCTTGAGCTGAAGAGCTGAGGGACAGCGCCCAGACCCAGAGTTCAAGCCCCACGACCGGACCCAAAAAATAAAAATAAAAATAAATAAATAAATTTGACCTGGGAGAGTAGAAGGGAGGATGGGGATTAAAATCAAGGACAGACAAAAGACCAGACAAGAAAAGGGAAAGAAGAGCAATATACTAACTAATGCTACATTAAAAATGGAGTAGAAGCTTGATACAAGCAGTTCAAGCCTGTCACCCTAGCCACTTAGGAGTTCACAGAATAGCAGCTTAAGACCACCCAGGCATAAAAGGCAACCAGATTCCTTCTAACTCAATAGCTGGACAATGGTATGAGCTTGTTACTCTCGCTTCACTGGAAGCGCAATGGCTGGGTCCAGTAGTGTGTAACTGTTATCCACAGTGAAAGGAAGAAGCATAAATAGGAGAATCACAACCCAGGCAGACCTATGCATAAAGGGATTCCTATTATAAAAATAACCAAGATAAACTGGCTAGAGGCATCACTTGAGTTGGAAAACACCTACCTTTATTCCCTAACGCTGCAAAAGGAGTGAAGAAGAGGAGGAGGAGGAGGAGGAGGAGGAGGAGGAGGAGGAGGAGGAGGAGGAGGAGGAGGAGGAGGAGGAGGAGGAGGAGGAGGAGGAGGAGGAGGAGGAGGAGGAGGAGGAGGAGGAGGAGGAGGAGGAGGAGGAGGAGGAGGAGGAGGAGGAGGAGGAAGAAGAAGAAAAAGAAGAAGAAGAAGAAGAAGAAGAAGAAGAAGAAGAAGAAGAAGAAGAAGAAGAAGAAGAAGAAGAAGAAGAAGAAGAAGAAGAAGAAGAAGAAGAAGAAGAGGAAGAGGAGGAGGAAGAGGTGATGATAGTAGTAGTAGTAGTGGTGGAGAAGGAGGAAGAGGAGGAAAAAGAAAACAGAAGGCCCCTAGAGAAATTTTAGCAAGATCATAAAGAAAACTGAAGAGGGTAAAGACTTTGGGGAAATAGAGAATAATTAACTCTATAAAACAATGGTTAGTGTTGAGACTAAAAAAGGGACTTTCAGGTAGTGTCAGTTGTTGGTGTTCTGACACTGGAGACATAGAATGAATTCCTGAAGCATAATTAAATTAGATCTGTGATAAATATATATATATATATATATATATATATATATGTCACAAGTATTAACTTCCTCTGGTTCAGGAATGCATGGAATGACTTGCTTACTTACAAATTTAGTTTAGCATTCCTTAGTGTTCTTAAAGCTCACTAGGAAATAAAAGATCAACATAACAATCTCTAGTATCGATCTCTCTATTTTTAGGAAATGGGGCTACTATACTAGAGCAACTCACCCAGCCTTCTATTATAAGATAAGGGCAAATAAAGGAACAACAGCCCACATGATTCCCTCTCCAGCAGAATGTACCATTGACTTATAGGTAAGATTAGGCCAAACAATAGTTTTATTTGAACCACATAGCACTTTATCAGTCTGTGAGCCAATATTCAAAACTTAAATATACCCCATAAAAATGAGCATTTATAGAAAAAGCTACCAAACTGGACTGCAGCTGAGTAACAGCTGCCCCTTTGGCCATGAGCTCTTCATTTTCTCCTGTGTCCACAGAATCTATGTCACTAGCATTGTTGTCCTCTGTAAGTTTGCAAACTTTGAACCAACTCAGGGATACCTTTATTTTTTCAAGTCAAAGTACATGAAACAGAGTGTCTTCTAAGACACACATTTGAACCTGTAAATAATTTTTAGATTGCTAGTATACACTTGAATACATTTTAATTAAGTTTAAGTAGTATCAAATGATTTAAATTTTGCTGTTTTATAAATTTTGATGTATGAAGATAGGAATTTTATATTATTTTTAAAACTACTCTGAAGTTGTCTCAGTACCTTACTAATTTGATACCTACTGTTACTCATCTTTAAAAATGTATGCAAAGACTGGTCTTTTGCAGTTTGGAAGTTATACATCGTTTTCTTTTCTCTCTTAACTTTTGTTTCCATTTTACTTCCTGTGCATAACTTTGTCTTACCATACTGTTTCATGCTTGACATCCATTCATTTCCCTCTCCTAAGACTTCTTCTTTGTCCAGATCAAAGTATTACAGGCTGCAGGGTCTTAGTTACTTTTTCTTTGTAAAATAGCCATTATCTTACCAGTTTGCTCAAGGTTTTTCCGAAGCAGACAGTAGTGTTTTCCCAGCAGAGAAGCATGGATCCTTTGTTCTTTGAAGGCCTAAAGTCTTTAGGATTTTCTTCAAAAATATTACTTTCAGATGCCAAGCAAGTAGCATTACAATTCAAGGGAGTGGGGTGAAAAGAATGACTAATAGTTTGCAGGGGAATTTTGTTTTGTTTTGTCTTGTTTTGTTTTTATTCTTTATGCATAAATGCAAGCCTAGGGTTGCCTGGTCTTAGAAAATAAGAACTTTTCAATTTTAACAGCTTACTAATTTTTTTTTTAATGCATTATCATCCAGGCACTGGTGGTTCATGCCTGTCATCCTAGCTACTCAGGACGTGAGATTTGAGGATTGCTGTTCTAAGCCAGCTGGACAGGAAACTCCGTGAGACTCTTATCTCCAATAAATTCCTCAACAAACAAACAAACAAACAAGCAACAACAAAAATAGAGCCAGAAGTAGCACTGTGTCTCAAGTGGAAGAGTACTCTCCTTGAGCAAAAGAAGCTCAGGGACAGTATCCAAGTACAGAGTGCAAGCCCTAAGACTGGCAAAAAAAAAAAAAAAAAAAGACAACCATTGTTATTGGAAATATTCTTAAATATTTCATATTTTAGTTGGGTAATTTATTGGCGATAAGAGTCTCATGGACTTTCCTGTGTGAGCTGGCTTAGAACCATGATCCTTCTGGTTTTGAGGAATGGTTAAAGGAATACACAGGGCTCTGTCTTTATGAATCCAGGCTGGAATTAACAAGGTAACATAGCACCCATCAGAGACCACATCAGTTTTGGAAGAAGCTCTCCAATGAGCCAGGGTTGGAAAACACCTATGAGTGGGCTACAGCCAGACAATGGAGCATGGTGAAAGCCGAAGCTGGCAATTCCAGCCTAGATGCAGGTGGCAGTAAGACTGATGTTTGCCCTGGAGAACGAAAGGGCAATGAGTGCAGAGTGGTCCAGAGGAGATGTTGAGAGTTGGGAAGCAAAGCCTGGTTTACCAACATCTCCATTGTCTGAACCCTCGCAGTGTTCACAGTTCCCTATGAGCCACAAGAAGGACAATCTAAAATAACAAGTACATAATCTAACAAAAATGTTAAGAGAACTGTTATATTTCATAAGTAAGAGAGGCAATGCCTGAGTTGATGGGGTTTATGTGATGTCTTGGTTTTCATCTGGGTGCTGAGGATTGCATGTGAAGGACTTGCCTCTCCCCTCTCAGCCCAGTCTTTTTATGTATCCAAAGATGGAATATGAGGATTGATTCTCACCTTATTCCTCTGGGTCAAGCAAAGCACCATGCTTGTGCTCACATGCTTGTCCTCAGGTGGGCTGCTCTGACCTTGGTTTAACTGAAAGCCCCTCTTACCCCAGGTAGAACATTCATTCCACTCAGGGCCTGGCCAAGGACACCATCCTTGGCCCCAAAGAAACCATAGACATTTCTTTTTCTTTTTCTTTTTGAATTTTCTACTTCCTTGTTAAGACCTATAGAAACCCACCCCAAAATCCAGGCCCTTGCACAACCTCCAAACCCATGGGGAGGTCAGTGTCCCTCACTGGTAATAAATAGTCATAGCCTGTTGACTATTGAGTCCAGCCTATTCCTTTTCCATTCTCCTTCATTTTCCTCACAGCGTATGCCAGATTCGTGCTAATGCGACTCAGCTATAGCCCCCGCTGAGTGGATGGTGGCAGAGGCCTTAAGCTGCTCAGCAGCACTAGCATCATATAGTGTTGGCTGCAGAGCAATCAAGAATCCAACGGATCATGTTGGCTTTAAAGCAAGGCTCAAGGCAAGGCCACCAGTGCTGAAACAGCTGTAAGAGATGTGAGAAAAAGCAAAAGAGCTCTGGAAAGAGCCAGCTCATTAGAGGAAGAGATGGGCAAGTGATGTACATGGCTCAGAAGCAAGGGAAGCAAGAGTTTTAACAGCAGCCTTTAACTGACTTGCTATGAAGGACAGAGACCCAGGAGAGGGAGCACTTGGCTAGAAGGAGGATCAGTAGGCTACTTCCTTCTCCAAACAGGTTATGCTGAAGCTAAATCAACATCTTCCAATAGCTGCCTACTTCAGAATCGCGGATCCACTATCACAGGGAGGGATGTCTCCACCTCTACAAGCGTGTGCATACAAGCGTGTGCGCACGCACACACACCCACACACCCACCACTGGTTTCACACTTCTCTCCTTTTTTCGCTGAGTGGAGTAATGAGTATAGGAGAGGGACTGGGATCTGTAATGTCTTGCTGATTCATGCCAGCACAACCTCTGACCACATCCCAGTTCTCTCTGCGTGTGTGTGTGTGTGTGTGTGTGTGTGTGTGTGAGAGAGAGAGAGAGAGAGAGAGAGAGAGAGAGAGACACAGAGACAGAGACAGAGAGACAGAGAGACAGAGACAGAGACAGAGACAGACAGACAAAGGAAGAGAGAAGACTACATGAGAGTTTACCTGTTCCTCTCAATTACAGAAGAGAATCGATGTTAATCTGGCATAGTTTGAAGTGCTCTGAATTATACTGAGATGGGGGAGGGAGATACTGAGATGGGGGAGGGAGAGTTGTTGCATAGTGGAACTTCCTGCAAGGAGAGATGTTGACCTTGTCTTCAGTGAACAGCCCTGGAGCTTCCTGGGATTCCTAGGCCAATGTTTTGCACTGTGTTACATAACTGCCTTTATCTTGGGATCAGTCTGATCCTTTAAAGTGCTGAAGAAGTCCAGGCGTCACCCTCCCCCACCCAGCCACTGACAGACAGTCACACAGGATGGAACTGCTGGAGGCCATGGAGATTGTGGGGTGGAGTTTTCAGGTGTTCTAACAACAAATGCCAACCCCTGGCTGGAAAAATTCAATAACCTGCCTGATTTCCTGCTGTGATAAGCCCTTGACTGAGAAGCCTGCTCTCTGGTTCTCGCAGTAGATTACACCTGTCCACACTGTGGAAACAAGCACATCTTTACACCTTCAAAAGTTAACGTCTCCTTTTAAAAACTACCTATATAGCTCTTGGGGTTTTCTTTGTTTGTATTTTTACACATACAGAAATAAGTATCTTCACCCTTAATTCATTACAGTAGGGCTGGAGGCGTGGCTCAAGAAGCAGAGCATTTTGTTAAACACAAGCAAAAGGCTCTGAGTTCAAACCCCAGTCACATTAAAAGAAGAAGAAGAAAACTCATTTTGTTAATAGTTTTGGACTTTGTGTTTTTTCTCTTTCCATTGCAAGGTGCTGGTCTCAGTGTCAGTGACAATGAATCTGGTCAAGGCAGCCAGGAGGGAGGAACGTTGACTGACTCACAGATTGTGGAACTCAGAAGGATACCCATCGCTGATACCCACCTCTGACAGCCTCACTAATCTTTAGAATCACAGCCTCACTAATATTTACAACAGGATAGCTTCACATTTGTCCTGGATTTTGTACCCTATTAGTATCTACAGCCATGTACTGGGAATCTGTGTACTGTACTGAATGATTAGCATGAACGTGACTGCTCTATTTGGAATAAAAATTACTTACTTATATATATATGCAACGGTTATCGTGAAAGACTGGATCCATTTACGAATGACTAGGATGCACCTATTCTAATAATATTAGTGGCTGTTCAATCATCCTATTTAGCTAACATTGTTTAATGAAAGTAATAATCAATAAAAAAAACAATAGAATACATTTGGTATCGCTCAGGCTCATTATTTATTAAGAAATGGGCACAAGCAAACTATCTACATGATGACAAGCATCTATTTCTCCTATCCTTGATAAAGTGATTTAGATTCAGGTCTTCTCTACATCTAGAAAACTTTAATCCCTGGAAAATGTAAAATGAATAGTCTGTTGATCCTTCACCTACGTGTGGACCAGGATGCTACAACTGGCTTAGTGGTCTATCAACTGAATATGTTTCTGCTCATTTTAAAATTAAGGATCGGAATGCTTTCCAGAATGAATGTTCTGTCCCCAGTTAAAAATAACTCCCCCTGGCTAAGAGCAGGATCATCCAAACAGTACAGTCTGCTTCGGAGAAAACTTCCTTGGTTTGGAATTTTCAGTCTTTCTTTGTCTTGGAATGAGAAATCAGAAAGTAGATCCTAGAACACTGTTGTGGTTGAGATGACCTCATTGGCTATCATTCAAGAAGATTCATTCAGAACAGACAATGTTGTTCGGAGGAAACCGCTTTGACCTTTTGTTTGAGGAGTCTTAAGTATTTTTGAAAAAAATATAAGTATCATCTCAAAAAGAAAAAAGTAATTTTTTAAAAATCAAAGGAAGTTCTTTTCTATAAATAATTTCCTTTAAAGCTATAATTAAAGCATCAGAATGATGTGTCTTTGCTCTTAAGTATGGATTTATGAGCTGGACAGAGGTGGTTAACACTTATAATACTATCTACTCAAGAGGCTGAGACTTGAGAATCAAGGTTCAAAGCCAGCCTAGGCAGAAAAGTCTATGAGACTCTTATCTCCAAATAACCAGAAAAAAAACCTGGACTGGAGGCATGCCCCAAGTAGTTTAGTGCTGGCCATGAGCACAAAACCCAAGTAAGAATGGTCCTGAGTTTAAGGACTCCTATTGGCACTATTGTACAAGAAGAAAAAAAAGAAAAAAGAGGAGGAGGAACAGGAAAAGCTTTATGTTTTATGAGGTGGTATTATTTATCTCGATAAACTTCAAAGTGACTCCTCTTTTTGAGAGATTTCCCCATACCCATTTCCTCCATCTTGTATTGAGTTTTATTTGAATGTAGAAAAAAAAAGGTCGTATCTTTGATGGACATCTAATTCTTTGGGAGAGACTTTAGAAATCTTAGTAATAACAATGAATTTAAGTGACAAGTTAGTTATGTCTTTAACCTTACAACACTGCACTGTAGTCTGCTCCATAAAGAAGTTATAATAGAGAAAACGGAATGTGAGGGGCTTGGGAGTTGGCTCAGTGGTAGAGCGCTTGCCTCACATGCATGAGGCCCTGGGTTTGATTCCTCAGCACCACATAAGCAAAAAAAGCCAGAAATGGCACTGTGGCTCAAGTGGTAGAGCGCTAGCCTTGAGCTGAAGAGCTGAGGGACAGTGCCCAGGCCCAGAGTTCAGGCCCCACGGTTGACAAAAAAAAAAAAAGGAACTAAAATTTTAAAAAAATTTAAAAAATGGAATGTGAAAAATTTGAAACTGGGAAGCATGTAAAAATTATCAGTAGATTTTACTGGCTTTGGGTTTAGGTAAATGATTACAGAAATATAAAAGCACATTGCATGCAATCCACATGTTTTACATTTTTGCAAGATTCCTAGATATCTAGCTCTCTAAAAAACTCAATTGTTGATCATTTTTTTTTCATTTGTTCATGCTTTCCAGGTTTGGAAAAATAAGCAAGCAAGGTCCTTTTTCTTCTTCCAGATTATTAAGATTATTATTGCTGTTTTGCTACCTATCTTGATAGAAACAAAAGAAACCCTGCATTGTTCTTTTAAATGTTGGAAGGAAAAAACAAAGTTTTAGAATCCACAGTAATAGAACGAGTAAGCTTCACATGCCAACAGCTGTAGTAGGTTAGAGTTTCCTCCACAGAGTAGACTGCAGTGGGACCCTGCTGCAGGAGGGCAGGAATATGTGGGAAGAGGTAAGTTACCCAAGTTCAGAGAATGAAAACTGAATGACACCCCTTTTCTTTTCTTTTCTTTTTTTCTTTTTTTGGGTCTGGTGGTGGGGCCTGAACTCTGGGCCTGGGTGCTGTCCCTCAGCTCTTCAGCTCAAGGCTAGCGCTCTACCACTTGAGCCACAGCACCACTTCCGGCTTTTTTCTTTTTGCTTATGTGGTGCTGAGGAATCGAACCCAGGGCCTCAGGTATGCAAGGCAAGCCCTCTACCACTAAGCCACCTTCCCAGCCACAAATGACACCCCTTTTCAACAGGTGATCCTCTTCTTATCCCTGACATTGCTTTTACAGTTTTCATGTCATAAAATTCTCATTCCATAAAACTCTTTCTTTGGAACTATCCAATTTGATTATTTTAAGAAAAGTGTGGTTAAACCATATACTGCCACATAAATTCAGCATGATATGTGTAGCATTAATTCTATTCACAGTATCATTGATTCTATTCACCGTGTAATTTGTGGTGTTGAGCAATCATCACTTTTATTTCCAAAATATTTATACCTCCACAGAGTTTCTTTTCTCTAAGACAACAGCGAGCATTTCACTAGTCCTGAGAATCTTTTTGAGTATAACCCTAAGTTTCTGGGTACATATGTTTGACTATAAGTCTTAATTAGATAAATAGTATTGACCTTCCCACTGTGGCTAAATGCCAGGGTAAGTCTCCTCTAGACAGCCTGGTTGTGTCGGGAACAAAGAACACTGGGAGTGTTCCTTTATAGTTTTCTTTATAGCCTTTTAATTGTTCATGGCATTCAACCAATCTCTCCCAATTCTCTAGCAAGATGCAAGTCAAAGACTGCATTATCAATGAATGGTACTTAAAGAAGGGTCTAAATGACTGAAGGTAGGGAAGTATTCCATTACCTTGAATCCCTTACGATATTTTTCACTGACTGCTGAAACAAACTTCACCCTTGATGACGTTATTCTTGATGATAAAATGTATTTGGCACATTAATTTTATTCATACTCAGCTCATCTCACCAAATTTTTACCATATAAATTCCATATTATCAGAAAAACACAGACTTTTACTTTTGAAAAAAAATAGAAAATCACAGATGTATTATGAAGCTATAACCCATCCTAGCTAGCACGTACTGAATATAAGCACACTATTCTCATGTGGAAAACATTGAATACATGTGATCTGGGCCTGTTCAATCATCTTGACAACCTAGTAACTACTTTAATTAGGAAATTACTACCCTAGAGATAAAAGTGTTTAACAAAGAATATATCCAAGACAATTCAGGTATCTATAAATACTTCAGTGTCATTGATTTATAGTTTACAAAATCTTCTACTAAAGCAAATGGGTTAGTAAAAGACAGTTTATAGGTTTATATGGCTTCTGCAGAAAAGAAAAACTGAGTAATAATGCTGTTTTCCATCACCTATGATTATGGGTTATTATAACTGCCATTACCTTGCACTTGGGACTGTGCAGGGTACCTTTGTTCAGTTCCCCACACACCCTGTGGAGCCTCTAGATGAAATACTGATTTAGTCCTGTGGGTTTCTTATGTAAATAAACATAAGCAATCATGGTTTTCTAACAGATAAAATAATTCAACTTTCATTAGAGTCATCACAGGTAAGAATAATTATCTGTAATACCACTCGAGGGAGTTCACGAGCAAAATCATAAATATGTTTCTTAGGAATGAACAGCTAGCATTTGCTTTATGGTACAAATAAAAGAAAACAATGCAAATCAATTCACAACATTTATTTGGTATTTGGAATATGATTAGGTTTACTTCAAAGTGGGGTGTGTGTGTGTGTGTGTGTGTGTGTAAGACAATAAATATTGGGGGAAAGTTTGGACCAAGAAAAGCCATCAAAGCTGGGCAGAATGGTGCACACTTGTAAACCTAGGGCAAGAGAACATGCATTCAAGACTACACTGAGGGACTCCTATCCCCCCAAAATAAACATTTAGTTTATAAAGCATATTTTATAAACTATAAAACATTTAGTTTATAAAGCATATTTTGATCCACTTGTAATACTAACTACTTAGTGGGCTGATATGTGAGGATCACAGTTTGCTCTCAGCCTGGACAGGAAATTCTGTGATACTCTTATCTTCAATTAAGCACTCAAAATAGCCAGAAGTAAAGCTGTGGATCAAGTGGTAGAGTGCTATCCTTGAGCAGAAAAGCTCGAGGGCTGTGCACAGGCCCTGAGTTCAAAGCCCACGATCAGTACAAAAGTAAATAAATACAGAAATGGCATTTTGAGAGAGAAGTCTCACAAAGAGTGTAAATGAGGATGAATATGGTCTAAGTAGTATTTTGGCATTACTGAAAATAGAAAAATGAAGCTTCACGAAGCTGTTTGAAGAAGGGAAACTGGGATAAGAGATTGTGATGGGGGAGTAAGGTTGACTAAGACACCCTGTATACATGTGTTGAAATGTCACAATGAACCCCCTTTGTACAGCTAATGTATTCCACTAAAAATAATAAGTCTCAACAAGACATTTTAAGGCTTATTCACAGTGTATGAAACCATCCAACATTCTCCTCCATACTCCAACTACTCTTATTCTGTACATGCATCAAAATCATCCCAAGTACGTTTACATCCTATAGGATATTAATGCTAAGCATTCAATGACAGTCTTGAAAGAATCAGTATGTACACCAGCATGAAATAGGACAGTACTTTAGAACTGCTAAGGCATTAGTGTTCCTTTCCTGAATATTAAAATAACACAGGAATTATGTAGTAAAAGAGTGATACCTCTTATTAAAAAGCCATCTTTATCTCTACAGCCCATCTGCACTGTGATGTAATGCACAATTTCTTTTATTTTGAAGATTGCATAATAAGTAGTCTATTGTATGCACATACCACATTTTCTTTTTCCATTCATCTGTTAGCACAAGTCTAAGTTCTTGGCTATTATGACTCATAGTGCTGCAATGATTACAGAGTGTTAATAGCACTTCAGATCTTGAT